ATAAATATATATGCACCCAGTGTAGAAACTCCCAACTGTATAAGACAAATTTTAACAGACATGGAAAAATCAAATGACAATTAACACAATTGTTATGGGGGATTTTAACATGCCACTGTCACAAACAGATCAACTGGGCAAAAATCAGCAAAGAAATAACAGGATTAAACCAATCATGTGAAGAAATGGACTTAGTACACCTTTACAGGGTGATCCATCCAACAACATCAGAATACACATTCTCAGTGGCACATGGAACATTATTCAAAATAGATGATATACTAGCACATAGAACATGCGTGAGTAAGTGCAAAAGAATTGAAATTATCCCTTGCATATTATCTGACCATAGTGCAATAAAACCAGAAATTACTGACAAAAGAAAATTCAAAAACACATGGAAAATAAATGAGTCACAGATGAAATTAAAGAATTAATTAAACAGGGCTGGTGAGATGGCTCAGTGGTCTAAAGCACCTACTTAGAACAAGCTTAGCAAAGCACAGGGATCACAGTTCAATCCCCCAGCACCACATGCCAGCCAGCCGCGCCCCCTGATGGGCTGAGCTGGCCACACACACACACACATACACACACACACACACACAATTAAATATATAAATAAAATAAATCTTTAAAAAAAATTAATTAAACAATGTTTACAATCAAATCAAAATATAGATAAAACTGACTAGAATCTGTGGGGTACAATAAAAGCTATTTGAAGAGTGAAATTTATAGCAATAAATTCTCACATCAGGAGAACAGAATTAGCCCAAATAAATAAATAATCTTATGCTGCACCTCAAGCTTCTAGAAAAAGAACGGTAAGTCAAGCCCAAAGCCTAAAGAAGGCAGGAAATTATAAAGATCAGAACATAAATGAATGCAATGGAGATGAAGAAAACAATACAAAGAATTAATGAATCAAAGAGCTGTTTGTTTGAAAGAATAAATAAAATTGATAAACCCCAATCAACCTTATCAAAAAAAAGAAAGAAAATATTTAAATTCATTCACTAAGGGGAAAAAAAAGTTAAATCACTACAAACCCTAGAAATTCAGATCATCTATACATATCTCCCAAATCTTTACTCTCACAAGATGAAAAACAAAAGAAATGGACATATTCCTACATACATATGAATTACCAAAGCTGAATCTAGAAGATATAAAAATTCTAAACAACCCAATGTCAATCAATGAAATCAGAAATGTAATAAAAAAAAAACCTACCATTAAAGAAAATCCCAGATCCTTATGGATTCACAGCTGAATTCTATAAGATTTAATGCCAAGTCTTACCAAACTCTTGAAGGAAATTAAAAGGGTAGCAATTCTCCCAAACTCATTCCTGGAGGCAAGTATTACCCTGATACCAAAACCAGAAAAGGACACAACCAAAAATGAGAACTACAGACCAATCTCCCTAATCAACATAGATGTAAAAATCCTCAATAAAATACTAGCAAACAGGACACAGAAAATCATCAAGATTATACATCATGACCAAGTGGAATTCATCCCAGGAATGCAGAGATGGTTCAATATATGCAAATATTTTAAAGATAAAAATCACATTTTCATCTCAACAGATACAGAAAAAGTTTTTGACAAAGTCCAACATTCATTCATGATAAAAAAAAAAACTACAGAACATTGGAATATATGGTCTCTACCTCTATCTGATAAAAACTATCTATGAAAAACCAGCAGCCAACATCATACTACATGGACAAAAAGTGAAAGCCTTCACTTTAAAATCAGGAACATGACAGTGATGTCCACTAGCATCCCTCCTATTCAATACTGTTCTGTAAACATTAGCCAGAGCAATTAGACAAGAGTAAAATAAAAGGAATAGTGATTCAAAAGAAAGAAGTGAAATTATCTGTATTTTTAAATGACAAGATACTCTACATAGAAGACCCCCAAAACTCTACCAATAGACTTACAGATAACCAAATTCAGTAGTATAACAGAACATACATTCAACACTCAAAAATCAGTAGCATTTCTGTACACAAACAAGGACAGTGTCAAGAAAGATATTAGAGAAGTCATCTATTTCACAAAAAACATCCCCCAAAAATGAAATATTAGGAAACAATCTAACAAATTATTTTACTTTATTTCTGAAGTAAAATAATTACACAGAAAAAATGCAGTACTCTGAAAAAAGAAATTGCAGAAGATTTCAGAAAATTGAAAGATATTCCTTGCTCTTAGATAGGAAGAATCAATATTTTGAAAATGGCCATGCTCCAAAAATTGTTTTGTTTTGGTTTTTTTTCCAAAAATTGTTGTGCAGATTAAATGCAATCCTGATTAAGAAACCAATAGTATACCTCACAGATCTAGAAAAAGCACTCTTAAATTCATTTGAAATTCATTTCTTCAGACTTAGAATAGCAAAAGCAATCCTGAGCAACAAAGGAAAGGTAGAAGGCATTACAATCCTTGAAATTATACTACAAAGCTATTGTAATAAATCAGCATGATAATGGAAAAAAAAAGTAGGCCTAAAGATCAATGGAACAGATTAAAAGATGCAAACAAAACTATAAACACACTCAACTACATTTCTTTGACAAAGGGGCCAAACACGTTCACTGGAAGAAAGATAGCATCTTTGATAAATGGTGCTGGGAAAACTGGCATTCCACATGCCAAAGGCTAAAATTAGATGTGTGTCTATCACCATGCAATAAACTAAAGTTAAAATGGATCATAGATTTAAATACTAAAACAGAAACACTAAATCTACTGGAGGAGAGAGAAAATAGAAATCTTGAAGACAAAAGGGGTAGATATAGAGTTCATGAACAAAAAACAAACTACTAAAAATACTTCAAAGAATCAAAAACTGGAATCTCATCTTTTTAAAAAATTTCTACATCTCAAAAGAATTTTTCAACAGAATACAAAAAAAATACATGCATTAGGAAAAAATTTGGTCTACTGCCCCTCTGACAAAGGACTTCTATCTAGAATATATTTTAAAAAATTAAAAATCAGGTCCCCAAAATCCAAAGACCCAATTCAAAAATGGGCATCTGATATGAATATACACTTCTCAGATGAAATACAAATGGCAAATAAATATATGAAAGCATGTTCAACAGCATTGGTCATTAGAGATATACAAATTAAAACAATACTGAGATACCATCTCGTCCCAGATAGAATGGCTAGTATCAAGTTGTCAGCCAAGATAGGCTCTTATGCTGCTGAGCTATCACAAGAAGAGGAAGAGAAAGAGAAAGATGAAGAAGA